GTTTATACACAAAAGAGATTAATCTCAAACCTTATATTCTCTATATTCAACATGGTATCTAGAGTTTAAGGTTATTTTAAAAATTTTTCATCTTTGTCCACTGCCACCACTACCGCCACTGTCGGAGCTGTCGTTGTGCCAAAGCCATTGCCGAGCCACCGTTGAAGCCGTCGTTGGAGTTTCATTTTTTACCAATGACATACGGTTTTGTTCATCTCGGTCAGACAACTACCGTACAGTTGAGAACACCACTATCGGAGTTGGTCATCCGTTGTCTTCAATGCCGTTTAGTCTCGACAGACGTGTTTTGGTCTTCTCGTTTTGGATCTGTGCTTCGTGGGTTGATTGGACTACTTAGGATCTTTTTTTTTTAGGGTTTGTTTTACCTCCCTTCATGACTTCTTCCGCTCCTTATGTTTCATCCGACACACCTACTATGTTCAACAAATTTCCTAAATGGTATAGGGATCAACCGTCTTCTAGTTCCACTGCGTCTGTCGCACACACAGGTACATCTTTTGCTGGTCTGACCCAATCTTCTCCTGGTCCTTGGGTTTTTAATTCAGGAGTCACTGATCATATTACTAGTAACAAATCTTTGTTCTCCTCTTTATCCTCTCCTAATCCTTTACCTTCTATTACATTGGTTGATGACTCTAAAACATCATCTCATAGTGTTGGAACTGTTAAACTTTTCCCTTCTTTAACCATTGATAATGTTTTTTATGTCCATAAGTCTCCTTTTAACATGTTGTCCATCAGTCGTCTAACTCGTTCTCTTTATTGTGTTATTTCTTTTACCGACAATTTTGTGTGTTTACAGGACCGAAGTTCGAAACAGGTGATTGGCACAGGATGTGAGTCTCATAGTCTTTATTATCTCCGTTCCTCTACACATGTTGGTGCAGTTATGGAGTCTTCCTCTCTTTTTCATGCTCAGTTAAGTTATCCAAGTATTGCCAAGTTACAACAGTTTGTCCCTACCTTGTCCAAGTTGTCTAGTTTGGTGTGTAAGTTGTGTCAATTAGGCAAGCATAGTCGTATTTTCTTTCCTCGTAGTGTCACACATAGTGTTTCATCCCCTATTGTCGTGGTTTACTCTGACATTTAGGGACCTAGCCGCATTAAATCTATTTTAGGTTTTCAATACTTTGTTACTTTCATTGATGATTATTCTAGATGTACTTGGTTATTTTTGAAGAAAAATTGTTCTAAATTATTTCATATCTTTCAATTTTTTTTTAATGAAATTCAAACTCAGTTCGGTGTTTCTATTAGAGTTTTGCACAGTGATAATAGTCGTGAATATCTTTCTCATTCTTTTAAATAATTCATAACTTCTCACGGTATTCTACATCAAATTTCTTGTGCTTATACACCTCAACAAAATGGTGTAGTTAAACGTAAAAATAGACATCTTATTGAAACAACTCGCACTCTTTTAATTCATAGAGAGGTGCTTCAACATTTTTGGGGTGATGCTCTTCTTACTGCATGTTATCTCCTTAATCGCATGCCTTCTTCGATTTTAAATAATAAAATACCTCTTTCCATTTTATTCCCTCATGAATCTTTTCATCCCTTACCTCTAAAAGTTTTCGGGTCAACATATTTTGTTCATAATTTTAGTTCTAATCTTGACAAACTTTCTCCTAGATCACATAAGCGTGTTTTCTTAGGGTTTACAATATCACAAAAATGATACAAATGTTTTTCTCCTTCTCTTAACCATTTTGTGTCTGCAGATGTCACCTTTGATGAGTTATCCCTTTATTTTAAAAGTCAATCTTCACCTCTGTCTCCATCCAATTCTGTCAACACTCCTAGTACATTTAATGTTCCTGTTATTTATGACTCTCTAACTGTGTCTTCTTCACCATTAGTTCCTACTCCACAGTCTACTTCTTCTCCACCGCCCCTTTAGGTTTATAGTCACTAAAACCGATCACAACCACCATCATGTGACTTCACTCAAGTGCTAACTACACTGTCTCCTCCGGCTCTGACACCTGAGTCTGACCTTCCCATTGCCCTCCAAAAAGGTATCAGTTCTACACGTAATCTCTCTCCCATTATATTACTTTGAGTTATCATCGACTGTCATTACCTTTTTATACATGTCTTTCCTCTATTTCTTTTGTGACCATTCCAAAAATTGTCTATGAAGTTTTAGCTCATCCTAGTTGGCGTTACCGTCTGGGAATTGGGAATTGGTCCCGTTACCGTCTGGGAAATCTATTGTTGATTGCAGGTGGGTGTTTGCTATCAAAGTTGGACCTGATGGTACTATTGATCACCTCAAAGCTCGTCTAGTAGTCAAAGGTTATACTCAAATTTTTGAGTTAGATTATAGAGATACCTTTTCCCCTGTGACAAAGTTGGCTTCTATTCATTTATTTATCGTCTTGGCTGCTCTTCAACAATGACCTCTTTATCAATTGGATGTTAAAAATGTTTTCCTCAATGGTAATTTGCAAGAAGAAATCTATATGGAGCAACCTCCTGGGTTTGTTGCTCAGGGAAGTCTTCTAGGATGGTATGTTGTCTTCGCAAATTCCTATATGGCCTAAAACAGTCTCCTAGGGTCTGGTTTGGAAAATTTAGCAATGTTGTTCAACAATTTGGTATGACTCGGTGTGAAGTAGATCATCCTGTATTTTATTGACACTCGAGTGTTGGATGGGTTTACTTGATAATATATGTTGATGATATTGTTCTTACAGGTAGTGACAACCATGGCATCTCTCAATTGAAACATCTCTGTTACCATTTTCAGATCAAAGATCTAGGCAAACTCAGATATTTCTTCGGTATTGAGGTGCCACAGTCCAATGATGGTATTGTTATATCTCAGAGGAAGTATGTTATAGATATTTTGGAGGAAACTAGGTTGATGAGTTCAAAGTCTGTTGATACACTGATGGATCCCAATACTAAACATCAATCAAATCAGGGGAGCCTATATATGATCCTGAACAGTATAGAAGATTGGATGGAAAATTGAATTATCTTACAGTTATTCATCCTGACATTTCCTTTGCAGTCAGTGTGGTAAGCCAATTTCTTAATTCCCCATGTGAAGATCATTAGAATCCAGTCATTCATATCTTAAAGTATATTAAAGGATCTCTTGGAAAAGGATTGTTATATGGTTCTAATAATCATACAAGAGTTGTTTGCTACTCAGATGCTGATTGGGTAGGATCTCCTTTTGATAAAAGATCCACATCTGGGTATAGTGTCTCCATTGGTGATAACTTGATCTCGTGGAAAAGTAAGAAACGGAGTATTGTGGCAAGATCCAATGCAGAAGCAAAATATAGAGCTATGACCTCAACTACCTGTGATCTTATTTGGCTCAAGCAATTGCTTAGATAGTTATAATTTGGAGATGTCACTCAAATGACACTTGTGTGTGACAATCAGGCCGCTCTTCATATTAGCTTTAATCCTGTCTTTCATGAGAGGACCAGACACATTAAGATTGACTTTCATTTCATTCGGGAAAAGATTATGTCTGGAGACATCAGACTGAGTTTGTTAACTCAAGTGATTAGTTAGCAAATATTTTGACTAAGTCTTTACGGGGTCTAGAATTGATTATATTTGTAACAAGTTTGGTACATACGATTTGTATGCTCCAACTTGAGGGGGTGTTAGATTTTGTTTAAATATTGTTAAGATATTATTAGATATTGTTAATGACAATATCTTCTATTTACTATAATTATTTTTTAGTTACTCTTTTTAGTTGTACCTCTCTTTATTATAAATAGATTACCCTATGTGTGATTTATACATAAGGAAGACTAATCTCACACCCTATTTTCTCTATATTCAACACTAATAATACATTCAATCTCCTAACAACTTCTAACGGTACATTTAATATTTTACTATCAACATGTTTGTTAACTACAAAGCCAATCATATCACTTGAAAGAACATTGGTTTAATTAAAAAATGATAATCGGTCTCTGTATATTTGGTCCTTCCATGCAAACTAATGTTGGGAGCAAGATGAAAAGAAAAAGAGTTGGGGAAAGAATGTACGAGATATAGAGGATTTGGACAAATAGGAAGAGAAAAAGAGGGAAAAGAATAGGAACAGATGGAAGGGAAAAAGAAGACAGGGATGATTGGATTTGGAGGGAAACACAGAGGGATAAGGAAATCTAATCTCATTGAAAATGACATCTTTTGAGATGGTAATCTTACCCAGTGGATTTAAACACTTGTAGCCCTTCTATGATGTAGAATAGCCAAGGAAAATGAATTATTGTGACTAGTACTCCATCTTCAATTTGTTATATGGTCGCAAGTGTTGAAAGCAAGCACATTCTAATGTTTTTAAGAAGTGGTAATCAGGGTGAAGATTAAAGAGCTTCATATATGGAATTGCAAATTTAAGGAAGTAGGTAATTTGATCATAAGTAGGTAACTCTTAGAAAGGTTTGGTCCCAAAATTTTAGGGTAAGGAGGCATAGGATAGAAGACCGAGGCCATGATTTGCAATTTGATGGTGTTTTCTCTCAAAAACTACATTTTTAAGGGGTGAGGGTGCATACAAGCCTGTTAATGATGCCAAATTGTTGAATGTGTTAGTAACATTGAGTATTCCTTATAATGACTTGGGGAATCATCCAGCAGAACTAACTTTTGGGCTTGAGTTGGGCAAGCCTGTTCTTAATTCAATATTATATTTCAGACTTGTGTTAGGTCAATCATAAATGCCTAATAATTCTACAAATTTCACACTCCATATGTCCTATATATGCCATAAAAGGAGTGTCTTACCAATCTCACATTAATTAGGAATAGGGTGATGTTGAGTTAGACTTAAGATAGAATCAGGACAACATCAATAAGAATCCAGACATTCTACTAGCACACAATTCTCACACTATTCATGAACATCACAACTTATCCATCAAAATTGTAGTTGTACATTTATTGAAGATTTATAAATTAGTGAACATATTTTTGCATTGAATTGTGGCTCACCCAAGATTAAGAAGGCCAGCAACCGTACTAATGCTGATATCAAAATCCACTTTAGGCTGAATGATAAAGTTCCCTTCTTTGATAGGCTGACGCATGTACAAGAAAACAAGAAAATTTTCAAATAAAATAAATCATTAATGCGGCACAGTATCAGCAATTAAATAATGTTCCCAACCTCTCGTATCAGCAATGCAAATCTGCCTTCACATATTCTGACTCGAATACAATCACTGTCTCTCAACTGTCCATTAGAAGGGATCCCAGGAAGCCTTATATAAATATCAATAAATTTCTGCACCGAACTGCAAAATTTTGCTGAATCAAGAATTGCAACAACATCTTGATATGCTACCTGTAATTTAATACTATCTTTTTCAGTGAACATGTTGAACAAAACCTATATATATATATACACACACACAGATAAAACTTACTTTTTTGTTACTTTTTAATACAAATAACGAACTCTCAGGAGAAAACACAGGGTCAAAATCATTTCGAATTTTAAGCTGCAAGACAACATTAAAAGATGTGTCATATATCAATTGATTATCCAAAAGCAACAATTTGCTATCCATAATAAAAAGAAACTAAGATACGACTACAACAAGAGGGTGACAGGTGTGAGAAGCAAACATTGTTTTTAACTTATACGGGAACAGGTCAGTCATCATGGATGAAGCCCAAGTATTTCTTAAAATTAACAGAAATATATTTTATAAAGTAGGCATAGTTAGAGAGCATTGTAAAAGGCAAGGAAGTGTAGTTCTTGTTTAAATGGAATCGTTCAAGGTTAAATTGAAAAATATAAACCCATCAAGGCTTTAAAATATAGGGGTAAACTTGTCAGTTTACATGGAATCAATAATGGTTTAACCATTAACTCCAGAGCAGTTTTAAATTATACGGGGGAAAGCGTACTATCCACTTACATGTGCATGAACAAGATGAGGTTCAATAAGCTGCTGAAACATGGGAAACACTGTCATCATTATCTCATTTTGGGAAATAAAGCATCCCACTCTACTCTTATCCCTTTGAACTCGTGAAATCAAATGTGAATGAACGCCTCCAACCTGTTTCAAATAAGAAAATCAAATAGGCTTTCTTAGCCCCACAGCAGCAAATAAAAAATAAATGAAATTGAAAAGGGCCCTCATGGATGGAGACTCAATCTTACAACAGCAATCCACAAGTCAAGTGATATTCGGATATCAGGATGCAACGCAAAGACGCCTTCAAATATAATCTGGACAAAATTAACAATATAGACTCTCAAGAACCACGTCGAAGCAATGTCATAAAGTACTAGCATGACAATACTAGCAAACTATATCAGGAGTTCAGCACACAAATACTATATATATAATGTCAAGTTGTTATGCATATCATTACTTCAATTTTCTGGTGTCCTTGATTTCTGAAAAAAAAAAAAAAAAAAAAAAAAAGATAATACAGGAACCAAGTTAAAGTGGCAGTTGGTACAGATAATTTTTTAGATGAAGCGCAAATGGTGGACAAACCATTGCTACATCCCCTACCACTTGTGTCGTGGGATTTAAGGGAAGCAGCAAGCACACTGTACCACAGTTAGTATAACGGTGAATCAATGACTCCCTTTACCAGATCAATAGTGATTTCATTCTGAAGAGGCACTTTTAGCATAGCATGATAGCCTGAAAGCTATGAATGTTAAGCTCTAACACCATTTGGAAACTCCTGATATTGGCTTGGTAACTTCAGAGAAATAGACAGGCCAAACATGGCATACTATCAGACAAATGTTAGAGCTAAGATCATTCCATGGCCTACACCAAATAGCTTAATCTTTGGGAAAAGTTCGCCACTGAAATGATATCAAACTTCTCTAACCAAGTTATTATGAGGTCAATTTTTGCTTCCCAATGTTCTAGTCAAAATATATATCACCAGAAGGTTCAAGCAAGCTTGCATATTGTTCAAACTATAAGCTCAAGGAGCATTCATCCATTACCGAGTTAATATTTAGATTGGCACTGAATTCAAAATCTACTAAGACATCCTTTCATGGGGTTTCTAAAACTAAAGTGCAATGAAGAAATTACTTTTCAACTTCAGGCTATTAATCTCACAAGAAAATTCATAATAAAGGCAACAAATATTAGGCATTTGGGGTGCTAGTTAATAACTGACCACTCCACAATCTTCCGAAACTTCAAGTTCCTTGAAACCACTCCGACCACCGCTTTCCAAGTCAAATATAGGTATTTTTGTTCTTTGACCATTTCTTATGTCATCAATGTTCTGCAAGGGACTCAAGAATGAGAATGTTAAATAATCCATTAGTAATATGACTGAAAATATCCAACCAAGCATTTAAAGCAAAGAGATATTACCATCATCCATTTTCTGGTGAATTATAGATACTACCATCATCTTATTTGAGCAACACATAGAGAAAGCAAATAAATAAAGAATGTTATAATATTGCAAAAAAATTGCTATTTTAATTCTTTCAAGACACAATTAGGAAGTCACTAGCAACAAACATTGCAGCAGGAATCAATTAAAGGGTTGTCCATAAAAGTTTTGGACCATGACAAATAGAACCAGTGGACCAGAATAAACATTGTAATCACAAAATGGTTTTATTATGATTTTGGTTTTTGATGACCCCCGCATTACTTTTTAATCCAAGTACTAGCTCTCCTTAGGCTCCATATGGATAAATTTCTCGACAAACAGTTATAAAAGAAGAAAATAAGAAAGTAAATTGAATTGAGCATTTCTAGTAAGTTAAAATCAACTTATGATCTCAGCTTTTAGAGAAGTTAAGAGTTTCTATAAAAGTTAAAGTATACAAGTTGACACACATTCATGTTAGACACTCCTAGCTTCGTTGTTTAATTTTCACTTACATTTATTGAAATTCTGTACCAACAAATATTGGATATCACAATAATTATAATGCATGAAATTCTATTATGTCTACATTGAATCATGCTATCTTCTTTCTAATTTAATATTTGTTTTCATGTTAATTTATACATTGTGCAATAACTCTGTTGCATCTTTTCAGTTTCACATTTGTCACATCCGTGTGTCCATGATCTATAGTATGTGAAGCACATACATGGCTAAAAACAGGCACTTCTGCGTCATGTCAAAACATGGATGCAGTATGGAGGATGTGTTCAACATGGCCCAGTCCCTGGACATACCAATGACAGAATGGCTCCTCATTTGGGTTCATTATAAAAAAAATTTAAATCATGTTAAAAAAAAGATAGGAAAAAGAGAAATGTTCTCTCTTCCCTCTTACTTAACCTTCCAGAAAAAGAGAAACCAGAACGATTCTAAGAATGAACCAAGAAATGTCATGGTCAAAAAAGTGATAAAAAAGATCCATTTTTTCCAAAGAAATAAAACCTGTTTATACAAAAATCAGTACAGAAAAAATTATGTATATGAAGGTGCAACAGCAATCAATATCATGTAGAGTAACCCAATCAACTGCATCTAAACTAATCAATTACCTTACCTTCGATAGCAATGATAAATCAAGTGCACTGAAGTCATCATATTTAAAATCCTTTACTTTTTTATAATAGCTTTCCAGGGAAACTACTTCACAACCAATTATATTTGCCATTTTATGAGCCAAACTAGTCTTCCCAGACCCGCTTGGACCTCCTGAAAAACACGACGTCGCCAGGATTAGTGATTCTATCAGAATTACATCTGTGAAAAACGCATGCTTTGAGACTGAGATGAAGCAGAATTAGTTCAGCATTATTCAGTACATTAGTAACAAAAAGAAAAGGCAGAAGAAAAAAAAATTCAATATGATTTTTATATGCAAATTCAAGCTGAAATCATTGACCTAAAATATATTAATTAATAAAAGGCTCAACATCGTCTTCAAAGCTTGAGTAGGTCATGTTATGTTTGAGATACGAATATTAAGGTTCAGCTCAATTAGTTTCTACCTTCGTCAGCAAGCATGTAAAGAACCAACCTGGTATTTCTAAAATAATAATAGCTAAATTGACTTTACATTTTTTTTAAATGCCTTCTTATACAAACATTTTTTTTTCCTTAAACTTATGCATAAATGTAATTCCAACTGCTTTTATATTTGTTTCTGTCATATGGCTAGTTGTATACTTTTTTCCATGTAGCAAAGAAAAACAGCAATGAGAAGCATGTCTACTGGGGAACTAATTCACCTGTCCCCCATCCAGTTTCTCCCTCCCCATCTCCCTAAATAGAAAAGCACTTCAGCAAAAAATACTTCACAACCAGGAGAAAGAGTAATTACGTTTAACCAATCATTTTTCCAATTGAAGGGACAGGAAAGGATATCTACACAGGCGGCCCAGCCCAGCCTGGCCCTACGGGCCAAGTAAAAAAATCTAATAGCCCAGTCTGGCCTATATTTTAAAACGGTAATCTTATGTTAGGTCAATGAACTAACAAGTCATTTTTGGCATAATTAAAAATAATTTTTTTATTTATATAATTTTTAAAATTTTGTTTGAAAAAATATGTCATTCATTTGTTTATTTAAAATTAACTCATAATTATTCAAACAAAATAAAATCATAAAATACCATCTTACAAAATTTTATCGTTCAAAATTTTATCGTATAAAAGCATAAAAATGAATTGTTATAATCATGTAGCCTTAAAAAGTTACAGTTGTCTATACATCAAAAGTTAAACATATTCTACTAGAAATTTTAGAAAACACATCTCTTAATTTTTTTTCTATTAAATACAAATTATAAACTTCTTCAATTGAAGTGCTTCTAGTAATTGATTTAAAATCAGGATTTAAAACTTTATTTACCTCCCAAACTTCCTCATACTCAACATAGCTAAATTAAAAACCATGTTTAATAATGCATCTCAATAAATTTTAGAGTCAATCTTTTATTGTTTTAACAAACTAGTCTTATTATCCAACATAACTCTCACATCATGATACTTTGAAATTCACTACATTTAAGAATTGTCGTTTTAAGTTATTGGTCCTTCACAGCAAATATGACAACAACAAAAAGGAGATGACCAAAATAAATAAAGTTTATATTTAGAGTTTATTATTCCTTCTAAATTATATATATATATATATATATATATATAAAACAAAATATATTATCAAATTAATTTATTATACATATATTTTGTAATAAAATAATATTACTTTTATTTTATTGTAAAAATAATTGATATTTTATAAAAGGATCATCCCATAAGACTACGGGCTAGCTCCGACCTAAGCCCATTTACGCCTGACCTAAATAGGTCAGGTTAAAATTGACCTAGTTCTATTTAGGCCATAAATATTTTGGCCTAAACTAGTCTATTTTTCGGTCCTTTCGGGCTGGTCCATCGGGCTAAGCCTATTTTGACACCCTAAGTTTAATGGGCATATATTGACAATGTAAAACAAGTTTACACTATCATCTAATCCCAGAACACCTTTGGTATGACTTTTAGGATAATTATTCTTAAAGTCAACAAACTTGCCATACATGGAGTGGAGATTTGTGATTGGATGATAGTACAAAATTATTTTACACTAACAGTGAGTAGTCTTTATTTAGTCTTATTTCTCTTCTTTTACATTTGTGTGCTAATGAGGACAGGCAACAACCACACACAAAGGAAGGAGGATGCAGTATCAAGAAATGTTCATATTACCAATTCCAACAATGACTGGGACACCTTTATTCTCCAACAATGCCTGGAATAAAGATAAATAAGCAAATAGAAAACACATAAATATGATGTCATATGGAACTCTAATCTTCAAACATGAGACACAGAAGAATTTTCCAAGCCTCTGCTTACTTGTATTGCTTGAACTGCCAAAAGCAATCCCCTGTCTAAGTCAAATGAATCAGGCATTGGAGCAAGCCTAATGCTATCCCTGAAAGATGAAGGATCTGTGGTTGCTTCATGAGAGAAGTCGTGATATAAAGGAAATTATATGTAAGCATGTACAAAATTATCTACAAAATTAGTTGCATCCTCCAATTAAATGAAGAATACCTAGGACTGAATTGTCAAGTTGGGAGGAATCGGAAGATACGAAATGCCATGTAGCCACAACAGGTTCCATTTTAGATTTTGTGGGGGACCGAGTCCACGGCTGAGGTAAATCCTCAAGCCCAGTAACAATGTTAGGAGAAACCCGAATTGGCTTTGGTGCAATGATAGCTGTTTCGTGATTACCAGCCACAGTTGTATTAGATACAAGTGGTGGTGTACTAAGACGAGGCACACCTGCAAGTGAAGGAGGAATTGACACCGCGATTTTACTATTCATTGTTAAATACAAGTCCATGCAACATAAGAACTTTTTAATTTATAATTTATAACTATAATATATCTATAATCTACTTTGGTGTCCACATTTTATTGGACCACTTTACACTTCAATATTTCTCTAAACCACCCACTGCACAATGTTTATTTCTTTAATACTCTCGCAAATTAATTATGTTGAACTTTTATAAATACATATGAACATTTATCAAAAATTAAATATGCGTACAGACTGACACCAAGTGTCTGTCTTTGCACTAGTCTTGATAACTAAGATAATCTACAGGAAACTGATAGACAATTCAAGAAGTCATGAAGGTAATTGACCAAAGGTTGTCCTCACTCTTCAAATCAATTTTTTTCCTGTCTAAGCAATCATCATCACTCATAAGAAAAACAACTGAATTAATTAAATGTGCATAAACTGTATTAAAGGGAGAGAGCACCCCAATACCTACCTTTTCTCTCAAGAATCATTTCCAGATACGATTTAGTAATCCAAGGTCCATAAATACCCACCTTTGATGCCTCTGTTCCAACAGTCTGCAGATTTTTTTCATTTTTCAGATAAGTAACTCAGCAAATTATTGAACAAGGAAAACAAAAAATGTTATTTAATATAAAATGAAAGAAACCATGAAAAGCTTTTCATAAAAGAAATTTTAAAAAAATAAATAAAAGAGTTTACAGTGCAAGGACAAAAAACCCTAAAAAGTGAGAAAACAAGGAATTTTAAATGTAATACAGAGGATTAACCCTTATTTATACTATTGACTATTACATGACTCTGGATCAAACAAAGAAACAACAGTAAATATAATGAAATCTACAATAAGATTATTTGCATAAAATAAACAAGGTAGCAGTTTAAATGGAACATGTCTAGTGGGATAAGAAAAAAATATACCTTTCTATTAGTTCCTCTCAACACCATGAATGTCTCACCAAGAACATCAATGGTCTCAAAAGATATGGTAACCTTGCCATTATTGACAGTTGTGGATGCACGCTTATAACTAACCACAACTGTGTACCCAAGAGCCAACAACCCACCCAATGTCATTCTACCAACCTGGTCCAACATTAATAATAATAAAAATAAAATAAAAAATCAGCTAAAAAAGGGGTAAGTTTATTTTTTTCTAGATGGGTAATAAGCTTAACTGAATAAAATCCTGAAAGAAGCATATGAAGATACATTAAAAGTGTACAAAGAATACAAGGAAGAGGAACCAAAAATAAAAAAATATTTTAATTAAGCTTACTATTAAAGAAAAAATCACCATGCAAATATAGACACAAAGAAAATACTTCAATTCCAAATCTCCACTTTCTGAATTTCCTGTATAACTTCATCTGACAAAACAAATATATCTTGTAATACTTAAACGGTATACAATGACGTTATGTCTTGTCCTCATCATTCAAATTGCAGTCATTACATTGATATGTTGACATAAAATGATAAAGCTATTAAAAATTTACATGCTGAACAGTGCTATCTAGGAAGGTTGCTAACTTATGCCTTTAAAGTTCCAACTTCCTAGCATTATCGAAAGTGGCAGCCTCTAAGTCATGGAAAAGGGGAGTCAGTTAATGCGTTAAATAAATTGAAGAATGCAAGGGGAAAGGGGGATGGATATATGTTCAGTTGTTGATTGGAGCATTGGCTCTTTGTAGAAAGGAAAAATCATTTGTGAATGGGAAACCCTTGAGGAGAGATTCCTCACCTATTTGTTGTACTTTCCATCTTACTCAATAAAACATTTCTTTCTTTCTCATTTCAATTCCTGTTTTATAACAGCAGGTCAACAGCAAACTATTTTAATGTTGCCTATCAGGGCACATCCGCATACCTCAAATTTTGTAAGCACGGAGAGAAGACAAATATCTAGGCCTTCTTGTTAATACACACTTGTGGTAATCAGCAGCTTTAAACTAGAGGAAACACAAAGTAATTTGGTGATACATCCTTTTACCTAATCTTGTGCATATGAGATACATACATCCCACTCATTCTGCTTATTAGTTTTGTTTTCAGCAGAAAGGACATGGAAAATATTCATACCTCAAATTCAGCTTTAGGCCTTATAATGAAATTCTTGTCAACAATCCTCTGATCACCAAGAGATAAATAATATCTAATTCCAGACTGTCTCACTTTGATCCAATCATTTATCCTTGCTTCTTCACTAGATGAAGGTGGTCTAAGGTACATTTCGATAAAACTGAACAAGGCAAATTCTCAGTGAGTCTACATGTTAGAACAGTAGTTAGAAACATTTAAAGATAAAATTAACTAGTCACCACCAAACTCATTCTTTCCACAATCAAACTACTAACTTGTCTGTTTGGGCTTCATTTCCTCGAAAGGACGAACCTGAATGTCCATCTGAAGACTGTCACAAAATTATAAGGTAAAAGCATTGAGTCTGTATGCCAAACAGACACACAAATACTGGAAAAATAAGGCTAGAAAGATATTTGCGAAAGTTATTCTAAATTGAGCCAGAAGATTATAATATAAGTAGAAGACTATGTTATGGGGAAAATTAGCATTTCATAGTTTGAGAAAAAAACAATAAAAGGACCTGCAGATACATCCATGTTTCCTTTATATTAACCACTATTAGGGAACTCCAAGTTAAACCTTCCTTATTTTCCACCAATCTCTAATAATCCATCATGCAAAGCTATGAGTTTATGACAATATAGCCAGTGAAAGAAAACAACAAATAATGAACAGGAAAACAATGAATAGTCTTGATTTAATAGACAGAGCATGACCAATCCTAATATATATTGTTGGGAAATCTCACATTGTCTACCTCAAACCTTGAGGTGCAGCTTATATATTTGTTGGGAATTTTTGCTTAATATCAATTGGTTTTGAGATGAAATCTAACACGGCATCAAATGTTATAGCTTATTTGGTAAATCAACAATTATGGTATGTCCATATCTTCTAGCAAACAAGTGTTCGGAGTCCCACATAGCTTGCCTAAAATCTTGCATGCACCTATATAATATTTAGGCAACTTTGCTTAACACCAATTAGTTGAGATGAAATACGACATATGTATAGTGCTAGCTTGTTAAAATAGAGAAAGGCAGCAAAAGTTATTTGTGATCACAAAGTACCATCGACCTCAAAGGGATGTTTATAGTTCTACAAAATGACCAAAAGTATGGTATTGGATGGTTAATTTGTTATGAGCTTGATGATGAAATTTGACATATATATATATATATATATATATATATATATATATATATATATATATATATTGTTGGGTGGTTAAAATGGAGAAAGAAAGCAAAAGTTATTTGTGATCACAAAGCACCATCAAGCTTAAAGGGAAGTTTATTGTACTAAAAAATGACCAATTATACTCAAATTTATGAATGTTAGCAAAAATGAAAATGTTGAAAAAGATGTGTGGTCACACTAGAAAGGAAAGGACAAATTATTTTAGCTGAGGAAATATTAATGTGGTATCTATCAATAAAAGATGACAGAAAATCAATTAAGCTGTTTTGGACATGTCCAATGAAGGTCACCATATGCACAAGTGGAAAGAGTATATTGCATGGATTTTAATGTTGTGAAAAAGGTAGGAGACATGAGACTTCGGACATTGGAGAAAGCAATTAAAAGGGATCTCATTTTGGCCGACCTCACCTAGTGAGATAAAGCTATAGTTGCTATCGTTGTATATTTTAAATGACAACCATTAAACTCTTAAAAAAATCTATCATCTCCATTCATCTTTATTGAACTTCAAAAACAATACTCGAGAAGAGGAAAAAAAATATTCAACCCATAAGTGAGTAAAGCTTAAAGTTTCATATTTTTAAACAGATCAGGCTCAAACTTTTAATTTAGTTCATTTAAACGAGTTAAGCACAAGCTTCATCTCTTTTTCACAAACCAAACTTGAACTTCAACTGCTTAACTTGGCTAGACAGACTTGTTTGCACGTTAGTAGTAGACAACTAACTGGAAAATTAAATTTACGTATAGGAATACAAGCATTAGTACTAATGTATAGGTCACAGACACACCTCACTTCTGCATTTAACCTTGTAGATTGCCTCTCTGAATGATGAGACAAAGCTGTTATTAATTCTGATCTGCCAAAACAGGGCAGAGGAAATAAAAATATTAGCCATGAAATTTAGATGTGATAATAAGAACAGGACCAACCTGTGCATGATGAAGATCTGGCTCAATGTGTTTCCTAAACAGTGGAAAAATGCTATCTATAAGGTAATCCAGTGAACAAGAATCTCCAATGTCATAGCGAACTTTAGAAAGCAAGCTAAAATGAACACCACCAACCTGATTTATCAAAAATATATGATCTGTAATATTTTGAAACTTCTAAGCAATTGGTCACATAATGATGCGGATAATATTGTTGCAATATTAAGAAAAAGAAAAAATAAATAAAAAATACCACAGCAACTCGAATATCCAGTAGAGACCGCAGTTTTGCATGTAATGCATATGTGCCATCAACTATTACCTGAAACCAATTGTATAAAAAGGAATAAAAATGTGAAAACATACAAAACTACAATTAGCATAGCTTACCACCCCAGATGAAGCGCTCTTTATTGCTTTATAGCCAACCCGCTTCTTTTGCTGATAGTCAAACTTGGGGATTAATGTATCATTGCCTTTAGTCAAATCCTAATAAACACAAAGAAGCTTATTAGCAAAAATACATAAAATAAAAAGAAAAGGAAAATTGTCCAAAGGAACACATAAGACTCATTTTTTTTTTCTTATTAAAACCATAAGCTAGTCCTGGACAGTACATGTTAAATTGACACAAGATCCAATCTGTTTCAATTCAAGAGAAAAAGAAGCATATAATTATTTCACCAACAGTCTATTATTTTTTCTTTTTATTTGGTTTTTATCTTTTGGTGTTGTTTGTTTTGATCAGAATCAGATCTTAGGAATGCTGAATTTCACCAATATATAACATATAAAGCTAGAAAAGGCCAAAAAGTAAAGCATTTAAGGGCTTCATTTGATCCGCCTTGCAAACACAAAAGACCATATTAGGGATGGTAAGGAGCAGCATTTTACGTATGATAAAGTAATAAAGTAAAATCAAACCTCAAGATTCTTGATCAGGGCATCAAAATCTATAGAATCCACATCATTCCCTTCATCAACCCCATCACGGTAATTCCCCATTGATATTACAGTACAACCAATAACAGATGCCACCTTTTCTGCTAAGCTTTAGGAACCATGAAATTGAAAAAACAAATGAGGGAAACTAAGGCAGAAGCATACACATTACTTAAGCAACACAAATTCAAAATAATAAGTTGACAACAATATCAATACCTTACCTTGTTTTACCAGATCCACTTGGACCACCAATGCCAACAGTAACAAGGCCATTTTTTTTCTCTCGAAGTTCTTGAATAGATTTTACCAACAAATAATATCCATGATCAAAAGACTACAAAATTTCATCCACGCGTTAGCTACACTTACAACAAATTTCATGAACATGAAAAATTAAGCACGCAAAAAGCTCAACATAAATACCATTCAAACTGCAAAATTATACAAACAAAGAAATACATTAATGATAATAGTGAACTGATTACCATGATGGAAATCAATTTTACTGCTCAACTTTTCGGTGTCTTCCCCGATATGCAAAAGTTCAACATACATTAACAGCAATACCATTCAAACTACAAATATAAATTTTGTCGCAATAATAAGCAAAACTCTCTCTCGTTCTCTCACATCTAATATAAGATGACAGTGAAGTGAATTGATTGTGTTAAAATGATACCAATTCTACTTTTCAGCTATTAGATGTACTTCCTTACATAAAAAATTATCAAGTGTTTAAAAAAAAGAACCAGTCTACAAAATTACGCTTCAACCCTAAAATTAAGAAAGGGGAGGAAAACATAAATTTCAAGCAACCAACTCGGTCAAATTGCCAGTAATTGAGAGCAAAAGCTATAATATCAGAGAAAAATGAGAAAGCAAGAATAAGAAAAAGCGAAGATGAGATTGCTGCATTCTATATATACCACATGGAGAGGGAGAGATTGAAGGATGGAAGACGAAGACGAAGACGAAGAGGTTGAAGGCTGTTGTTGGAAGTAATCGCGCCCTCCTTCTTGGAACACTCGCTGAACAACTTCATCATCCATTTTTGTTTGGTTCTCGATCAATCAACACTATCTCTTTCTTTCAGTACCTTGTTGCTTGTGAGAGAGAGGAATCAATCTTCGTCTGGTGGAGTGTGTAATGCGATGGAATCTCTCCGAAAAGGAAAATACGACTTCTTCTTGTGTTTTTTTTTTTTTTTTTTTTGGTTTGGTGCCGGAAAAATAAAAATATTTTAATTTGGAATTTCAGTTTTCGTGTTAGTGTGTCTTACACCACCCAGTCCTCCCTCCCCGTCTACTGCACGTCTTTTCCCTCGTGCACGCTCTTTATTTCCATTGCACTTGCTGAAAAATTCAGTTTTATGTTCTTCTTGCCTCACTCGCGTCTCAACAACACGCTTTTGTTTTTATCTTTCTCGTTTCCTGTTTCTCGTTTTCTTTTTCTCGTCTGTTTTTCTTCTCCTGCACGATTCCATTGGTAAAGAAACGGATGCAAAGAAAAAGAAATAAAAGAGAATCTTTTTCTTATTTTATTTCTTTCAATGTCGTAGTGTTGAAAAAAAAAGTAAATGTTATTTGTTTCAAGATTTTAGGACTTTTAAATTAAAATTTACAAATTTAATGTCATTGTTTTATAAAATAAAAGTGAATTCGCACTTTTCGTGTGTAGTTGTCAATTCAAATGATAAGACACTATTAGAATTTTTTAATTTTTATGAGATCGTTTTTCCTAAATTTTGTAAAAATTTGTAGAAAATACATTTCTTCCAAATTTTCATATCAATTTTTATTAATAGGTAATTAACTGGTGGATAATAAATTATTTAAGGATTTAATATTCATAAAAATTTCTTATAAAATTTATTGTAAAAAAATTCGTAAGTAATTTTTTATAAATTTAAATTTATATATAATTTCTTATAATTTAAATTTTCATGTAATTTATTTTTATTTAAATTCGCATTTAATTTCTTACCAATTTAAATTTATATGTAAATTTTTACCAATTTCAAATTTGTAAGTAATTTTATATTTATAAATAATTTCTTGATAATTTTATATTTGTAGAAAATTTCTTATTAATTTTAAATTAGTAAGTAATTTCTTACGAGGTTATTTTTTTAAGAAAATTTACAAAAAAATTTGTGTAAATTTAAAATTATATATATATATTGAAAAAAAAATATTTATTATATATTTTATTTTATTACATACTTAAATAATTATAAAAGAAAAAATGTTTATTTATTTGACTAAAAAACTAAATTAAAAACAAAATTAACATGAAATGTTTTTTTTAAGAGAATTATTTAATGTTACATCAATATAATCCCTATGAATGAAATGAAAGTAAAATACTATTATATAAATGTAATTATCACAAATGTATGAAATGAAATTATCAATGTTTGAAAGCATGAGATTGTCTTGAAATATGAGATTCATTTATATGAAGAACCTTGTTCCATTGCATTATTGAGTTCTTAGGTATTCAATATAATTATGTTCTCCATTGTTGAGCAAATAATTTGGTTTGTATTAATTTGAAAAGGACGACGATAGAGGAAAAGTTACAAAACAGAAATGATGTTAACACTATAATTTTTCGTAGTGACACAGAAAGTTCATCATTCCCTGCAAACAATATTACTATTCAAAATTAATGTAATATTACTACTATTCATTTTAAGATTGTACTTTATATTTTATTTATAGCAATTAATAATAAAAGTTCAAAATTAACTAAGAATCTAAATCTATAATTACTTACAAATATATTTTTACTTGCACAAATTTTGGTAGAATATTTCTAACCTTGTTAGACTTGAAAGATCTTCCCTGTACGATAATCTTTTTTAGATAATCTGAATAACAAAAGACCAACAATTGCAATGCAAATTTTTGTTATTGTCAAAATCATATCAAATCTTTAATCCCGAAATTCAAATGAAAAAGTGTGAATGACTAAATTCAAACATTAAAGCTCAAAATAATATAAATAATTCAAAACTTTAAAATCTTGTAAAAAAATGCATCAAAGCAAGTCATTATTGTTGTCAAAATCACATCATATCTTTAATTCCCTGCAATTTCATTATCACCTTCAATAATTCAATTAAGTATTATAATAACTCAAGAATAAAATTTTAAATATTATCATCTTCAATATGATCATTGTCTTCATCATCATCATTTTCATTGCTATGTTGAGATGATGAAGATGGGTAGGAAGAAGATGCAACAAACCCTAAGTATTGCATTAAGGCTGCTACTTGATTCTTAGTTTTACTCAACTCTTTTTTCATTTTTAGCTTATCTTTTTTTTGTCTTTGTAACTCTTGTCTCATTTCTTGTTTTTCTTGTTCTTGCCTATATAATGATTCATTTAAGGCTTGAATTTTACTCTTTAAAGCATCAACATTTTCAAAATTTGACTACTTAGTTGAAGATATGATTAACATTTTGCCTAGAGATCTAAGACCAAATATTCTTCCCTTATTTTTTCCAATCGAATCGATTCATATATCCAAATCTGATGCCATTTGGCTCATGGATTGTTCACCATCAATTGCATCCTCCCTAAAACTATGAGCTAATAACTCATTTTTCTTTTGTTCAAATTTCTCCTACAATTGAAAAGGTACTTAGTGAAAATATATAAATAACAAAAGTAAGTGAAAACTGTTCAATCTTTTAAAATATTTTATCATTCTGTCAAAATAAAGAAATGAAATAGTAGTTTTACATAAATTTAGTATCTTGATTTCTTTATTTTTACTTTTCAATGCCTACTGAGTATCAACCAAAATATCAAGGTCATCCTCATTGAAAACAGGCATATTCTCTTTCCTACATAGTACATACTATACTATTCAACTTTATGAATGACTTCAGGATAGTGCGACTAAAGTGGATCTCCCAATCAACCATTTTATATTCCACTTGTCAATTTATTAATATGTGTAATTTATTAAAGGTAATGGCAGTTTGCTTAACCAATTAATGCAATGTTGCAATATGTCAACCTGGTGGGAGCCATAAAAATTTGTATTAAGTCCTAATTATCAGATCAATCATCTTCCTTACTAGTTAGGTATTTCATATCAAACAATTGCAAGGCAGCTGGTAAATCGTGAAGAAAATGAATCCACTCCTATTGAATTTTAACAAGATAAATCATGTTAAAATTTTATACCTATTTATCTCTAGATAGATTGATAAATATGGATCCATTCATTCAATGTTTATTGTAAAAGAGATACACACAAGGATTTAATATAACCTATCATATATCCCGTAATCAACACAATGATAAATTTAGAGAGTCAAATCCTAACATTAATCAAAAGCCTGCTTCATAATAATAGTATTAAAGGGGGCAGATATTAGGAAAAATCATGGACAAAAAGACGATATTACCATTAAAACTTTGTTTATCTCTAGCCATAAAGCTCGGTCCCTTCCAAATTCTTCAATCAATTAAAGAAATGTACGTGTAGGGGAGTAGTATTGATTTCTTTAACCCAAATGCAAAGCTAATTAATAGATAACTACTTTCATATTTGATTGTGCACTTATCATTACCAATGTGCTTATCAAATTGAAAACTTACAAAAGCAATTTTGGCATGAAGAAAACCCAACTTTGGTCCTTCTTTCTCCGATGTGTACGAAAATAAAACTCAGTCAATGATGTTTCTATTCCTTTTTCCTCTTTCTGATAACAAAGAAAGTTTAATGTTATTAATTCTAAAATTTAAATTATAAAAAAAAGTAAAGTAATAATATCATTCTCTTCCAATGTAAGCGATGAGGTATTGATCCACCTGTATGATGCACCATCCAAAGCTACCCAATTTCTTTTATTTGTTTCAGACTTCTTTTAAAAACTTGTAGATTCCCAATGTGTCTTTTGAATGATCTATGCACTTGCAGCCTAAGTTAACTCAAGGTTCGGGGCCTTGTCAGAAATTTTGACCAAACAAAATAATGGAAAGAAGGTATTGGTAGATACTCTTCCATGCATCTACCTCATCCCCATATTTTTCTTTCTTCAAATTCCATATTGGTAATGTTGATAGATTCAAATATGCAAACTTAAGCTATGTTCACAAGCTACCATGTGCCAGTTCAGGATCAAATGATAAGTGTTTGATGTTCCCCTCAATTAAAAATAGAGAAGACATAAAGATTGGAAGAACATGCAATCTTTGAAAAATGACATACCACATTATTGTCTAAAATAATGCCTTTCACCAAAATCAAATTACCTGCTTCTTTTGTATATTTTCCTCCTACAACTAAAAATAATACCTCTATGAAATAAAAATAATTAAGAAATTTATCTTAAAGGAAGTTATCTACAGCAGGGAAAAAGAGATTTCTTTCAGAATCTCGTTAATAGTGAACATAGTTAAACAAAATGTTATACTCATAAAATTTTAACATTACAAAATACATTAAAAGATGAAGGAATGGAAGTAATGAGATAAAAAAATGGATTAAATTATTGTTTCACATGAAGTCACTTAAATATCTAGATGCTACCTTTGGTTGAAAAACACGCACTCCACTCAATTTAGTTTCGTATGAGCATAACTTGTAACTGGATACATCTTGTCCAAACAAGAACATAGAAAGAAGAGTTGATATTTCACAATTAGTTACATCCATTCTAGCATTAATTTATTTACCTGTTATGGACTGGAACTTCCCAGGCATAGTGAGCGCAACCCAAAATCAAAGTAGTAGTTTAACAAACAGCTCAATCACCACCCACATTATTCCCAAAATATTAGAAACATCATATGAAATGAAAACCCTAGGTTGCAGTGTTAATCAAATTATGTTAAATGGAGGCCTTGAAAATTCCTTCCCCTAATCTTCAACAGACCCCTGTCTGCAATAGAAATCAAACCTAATTTTAGATCGACGAGCTCTAACATTCAAACTAGTAATAAAAAGTAAAACAATAACTAGAATAAGTTATAAAATACACTTGATAGTTGAATAAGTCGTGTGAAACATAACCAAAATACCAAA